GCCACACCCATACTGCACATACATACCACACACACACACACACACACACACACACACACACACACACACACTCACACACACACACTCACTAACTCACTCACTTTTTCTTCAATTAAGAAAAAAAGGAAACCAGCCTTAGGAGCCACACCCCAGGAGACCTGTATCTGATGGCTATGTGTAGAGTCATGCAGAGAAGCACCAGCCTGCGTGCGACTTAAACACCCACATCAGCGAGAACTCTGAGAGAGACTCGAATCTCCACCCACCACCCACCCGTCTGCAGAATGAGGAACTGCCGCAGCTCAGCAGCTGAGGGGTCAAGTTCCTCTTATTTCTCTTACTAAGCTCGAAAGCAGGCATGAGGATTTATGAGGGTTTGGGGTTTTTGTTTGTTTGTTTTGTTTTGTTTTTCCAGGGTCCTTGAGGTTTTGGGGCATTTTAAGATCAGCTTGGTAAGCCTCAGGCTATTTGTTGTTGGCTGTGTGCACTTCCAGAGAAGACGCCAGAAGGCACTCGAGTCAGTTATTAATGCTATCTGATAATTTTCCGAGTCAGCCCAGAAATACTCATCCCTGCCACTACCCCTCAGCTCTCACCCAGTTCTTGAACTTGTGACCCAGGTCTCAGGTGCCCATGAGGGGTGAAGGAGGGGTCTGTGTGCCAGAGCCACGTTAGCCGGAATTGCCCAGGAGAGGGCTCAGTTGGTCAGGGCGGCATCCCCTCTGTGCCTCGTTTTCTTGTTTTTCCTTTTTAAGATGGGATGCAGGGAAGAGAGAGATCTGTACCTTTGGACTTAGTAAACAGGAAACTTTATGTCTTTGTAATCAAAGCATAAATAAAACCTAACCCCACCACTAGGTAATGGTTTCCACAGGCTCGTGTACACATCTGCCTTCATTTGTATCAAGCATGATCTTTTATCCACTTTACATAAAAATTGTTCTGGTTTCACTTCTGTGGCTTTGATGGTTGCGCTGATGAAAAGCAACTGAAGGGAGAAAAGGGTTCATTTCAGGGAACAACTCCAGACCGCAGGCCTTCATTGTGGGAAGTCGGGACGGGAGGCCAAGGCAGGATCTTGAAGATCGACCTGCTTGCTGTACCACAGAGCGTCATTTCTGACCAAGGAATTCGCTTCACAGCCAAAAACTCCAGTGGGAGCCATGGAGAAAGCCCCTTGCTGGCTGGCTGGGAAGTCTGGGAAATCTGCCTTAGATCCAGCTACTTTCCTTAAACAGCTCAGGACCACTAGCCTAGTGACTGTGCCGCCCACAGCGGGCTGGGCCCTCCTACATCCAGCAACAATCAGAACAATCCTGGACAGACAGACAGTCATCTGACCCAGGAAACGCCTCAGTTGACCCTCTCCTCTCAGATGGGTCAAGCTGACAGGTAAAGCTCAGTGGCACAATATCCTAACATCAATTCTTAAATCATCCTTACAATGGTTGAATAACATTTATGTTTACAGTTTAATGTTAGTTGAGCCATTATCATAAAAGGTCTGAAAAATCTACTTCATGTGTTGAAGTTACCTGAGTCCATAGATAAATTTGGGGAGACTGCTACATTTCTAACCCATGGATAAAGTATAACTTTCCAGTTTTCAATTTCATTTTCTAATCTTTTATTAGAACCTATACCTAGAAATATATTTTATATATGCTCATTGTTTTAACAATCTTGAAAATTCATTTAATACTAACTCTAATTCATCTCTAGACTGTTATGAGCATTTTAAGTTCAGCCTTTTCTTTCTGGTCTTTTTAAAGCATCATAGATGTTGGCATCTCTGGTTTTCTTTGTTCAAGCGCTTTGGACCAAATGACTTGATTTTTGTGGAAATTTGTGTTGTTGCCAAAATCGGGTTAAAGAACTTTAACCAAAATTATATTTCTCATATTTAGATCCTTATATTTAGGATCTTTACCTAGGATCATGTTGGATCAAAGCCTGTGAATGTACCAGAGAGTTATTTGGGTATGTGTGGGAGTTCCCAACAGTTTCTTCCCAAAATTATACCCCAGACATCTCTGAGACATAATTATCTTCCATTAGTTGGGCACACCCACGCTGGCCTGTTCCTTTTGCCCCAGTTTCGGCAACAGTCACCCTCCCAGAAGCCTGGGGTGCTCTGGCTTGAGCTGCCAACCCCACGTGGTTATGCAGACATGGGTATGGGGCACCATGACAACTCAGAGGGGCTCAGTGACTAGCAGGGGACACTCAGGGTCATGAGCTGTGGGGTGACACTTGGGCTACTAACCTCCTGTCAGATATGTGTTTTCGTTCTGCGGGGTATCTTTGCATTTTGCCATGGAGAAGCTTTTCCGGTGTGTGTGTCCCAGGTACACAGTGCCTGATGTTTGCTTTTGCTGCAGGTGCTTCTCAGTGTCGTATCCAAAAAGTCTGGGTAGAAACCAGCGTTTAGAAGGTGAATCAGGGCAAGAGAGTTGGATCTGCGGTTAGGCGCACTGGCTCCTCTTCCAGAGGGTGTGGGTTGGGTTCCCAAGACCCACATGGCAGCCCTCAACCATCTGCAACTCCACTTCTAGGGGACCAAGCACCCTTGACTGGCCTCTGAAGGCACCAGGCATCTATACATGAAACACATGTATGGATGCAGACAACATGCCCACACATATTAAATTAGTTAATTGATATAGGAAGGTATGAATCAGTTTCAGAACTCAGCATGGTGAGTGTGGTTGTCAATAATGTATTGTTTACTTAAAATTTGCCGGGAAAGTAGAGCTGAATACCCAGCCCAATGTTCAGCATAGTAACTATGTGATGCTGGACGGGTTAATTAGTGTTACTGTGGCAACCATTTCATGGTGGATATCAAATCAGTTTTATTGAGGTATAATTGATAAAAGGTGTGTCCACTCATGATGCCTAGGATAGGCATGGCTGCAAATTTCCTGTACTGTTCCGACCAACGTGCCTGCAGGGGTTTTTTGTTTTGTTTTGTTTTTAAAGATTTATTTATTTATACATACAAGCGCTCTATTTGCATGTGTGCCTGCATGACAGAAGCTTCCAATACCATTGTAGATGGTTGTGAGCCACCATGTGGTTGCTGGGAATTGAACTCAGGACCTCTGGAAGAGCAGCCAGTGCTCGTAAGCACTGAGCCATGTCTCCAACCTGTGGCTGCAATTTTAAATCTTGCAAAGTTAATTTACATATTTATAAGGACTGTGTTAGTAATATGCCACTTACATGGAGTGAGTGTATGTGTGTGCTCATAACTGACATGTTTTTTTGAATCATAAGTGATTTTTTGTGTGGGGAAGTTGCATCTTTTGGTTTTGCATCACTTTAAAGAGAAGACAGCAATGGTGATTTCACCCAAGTTCTGTTTTGACTCGCGTCTTCTTATCCGTAAGCATTGCCGTGGCTTCTTCGGTGCATCCCAGACTTGCTGGTGGGTCTGGTATGGTAGTCAGGGAGAGCTCAGGAGTGAAAACCGCAGCACGTGAAACAAACAACACGAAATGGAACCTTTCCGCAAAGCACAGCATGTGCCGCCAGTTCCCTCGCAGGTTGCTAACGTTTGCTGGACAGTCTCAGCATTCCTGCTTTGATGAGGCCAACAGCCTGCCCAGATCCCAACCACTTGTCTCTTGTCTCTGTGACCAACACCCTGTGACATGCAGTACAGAAGTCTTCTGCGTTTGGGGAAAACATCGTTAAAATCTCGTCTTGGTTGTTTTCTTGTTCTAGAGAACAAGGTATGGTAATCATTTCTCCTTCATGGCCAGGTCTCCCAGGAACACGTTCCAGCTTTATAAACCAACCAACCATTCTCCCCTCTGCATTCGTCAGAGCTCTCCAGAGAAACAGAGCGGATTGTGTGTGTTCGTGTGTGCCTGTGTCTGTGTGTCTCTCTGTGTGTGTGTGATAAACACTTTCAACCCATTTGTTGAATCCAATGATGTGGCGTCTTCGGATAGAAAGGTCTGGGTATATTTACATACACACTCACAAATGGAGGAACTGTTTTAAGAACTTAGGACGGGATATTGTGGGAGCAGCTTTAGTGTGAACACGTTCTCAGGCTCCGGGGCAGCGTGTGTACTTGGCACACACAAGGCCGAGTTCATTCCCAGCACCAAAAGACAAAAACAAAAAACAGTAACAACAAAAAAGGGCAGAATACATACAACTCTACCACGTTTTCTGTCTTGCTGTGTGGTTCCCTCTGTGATAACCTGGTACAGCACAGGGCTCCCATTGGGAACTGACTTCGTGCCTGTAGACCTTACAGGCTCCAGAATACGAGCTACAAAGGCCTCTACTCTTTCTAAGTTTCCTGCTGTCTTGTGTCAACACTAAATGGACTGAAAACATTATAGGTAGGTCTGGACACATTCGAACCAGAAAGCCGGGGGCAGGGCAACTGGCCCAGGGGCTGAGCTAAGCAGCCTCACTCACAGCTGACCGCTAGAGGCAGAGCTCCCCTCCTCAGACCCACAGACCAAATCACGGGGACTCTAAAGGTGCTTTATTTAAATAAGGTCTAAGTCAAGTACATTTAAAAAAAAAAATTAAAAGGTTCCCCACCGAGGCAAGTTATGACAAAGGAAGAAGAGACTCCACACAAGAGGGAAAACTGAAGAAACGCTGGAAGAAACCTCAGAAACCAGCAGCCTGGAGGCTGAGGCTCCTCAGAAGTTCACAGTTTAAGCTCTTCTGTGCTCAGTTCAATGGGAGTAGAGGCAGGAAGGGAGGTGTGACCCAGGATACTGCACTTCCGGTCATGTCTGAAGGAGGGACGTCGCACCCGGCTTATTCTCCCCTAGAGCAGCCCTCTCATCTGGCAGAAGCTAGGCTTCACAGAAACCACCTATGTAAAAAAAAAACCTTCAAAACAGTGCTGCGGGAGTGAGCTAGGGCACAGCCTGTCTCCTCCCTCACGCTGGGAAAAGAGAACGGTGCAAATATTTCTTCCCAAAACATCAACATGTCTCAGACCGACATCTTGGCCTTGGGCCGTGGCATGGTCCTCCTGAGGCTGTCTCACCCCATCCTGGGCTTCAAGCTGCACTTGTCCAGTGTGTCAGCAGTATGCCCGTCCCCAGTCCCATGGGCAGGCTGGCGTTTGTGCTTTGAATCATCACCTCCCCACTAATGTGCTCAACCGAGGTGTGCTTGATTTCATCACCTCACTCGGATGGACCGAGTTCCTCACCTTGTAACATAAGACTTTACAGGGGGACAAAGAGTTCAGATGCCACCAAACCGCTTTTCACAGGTTGGATTAGCCCTCCCCTCCCCCAACATTCGTTGGTCTTTTATTCCTCAGGATTTCAAGTTCATTGCACACAATTACATAAACCGACACCAATTGGTCTTGGAGTTCAAAGCTTCAAGGCCAAGAGAGACCAGTGAGAAAATCCAGTTGGCCGCTGTAGAGGTCTGAGCAGCTGCAACTATTTCAAAAGTTCCCAAAGTTCATGTGGCATTTGGTGCTGGAGTCAGAAAACAGGCCCTAGGTCTCCGAGTGAACCCTTTACCACTGGACCACACCCTAACTGCTCTCTTCCTACCTTCCTTCCTTTCACTCTTCCTTCCTTCCTTTTTTTTTTTTTTTTTAAATTGTGCTACTAGAGATTGAAGCCTGCTTCTCACACACTTGCTAAGAGTGAGTCATCTCCCCAGCCAAGTTTCCTGAAATTCTTGGTCAGTTATTTGGATGTGGGAGGTGGTCTCTAGGGGATGCTCCAAGATGGATTAGTGGACCTGTACCCCCACTCTCCTCATGAACCCCACACTTTAAAAAGCCATGCACCTTGGCACCACCTCCTTGGAGTGCTGGGCAACCTGACACTCTGCAACAGTCACACATTAACACGATCACAGGGAAATTTCATAAACCAGAAATACTTTCCCAGAAAGAGTGTGCTCTATGGGAAGCCCCCAAGCTTCCAAAGGAGAATTGTGGGACAATGCAGGCTCTGAACATTCAAAAGAAAGATAACTAGAAGAGAAATGACCCAAATCAAATTTCCTCAAACATTTGCACCCACAAAGCTGCTCTTGGTGTGTAAGAAAGGACCCTGATGAGTCTTGTGTGTGATTATAAGGTAAGCTGCCACCCCGTCCCTAGTTCTGTGCTTTGCTGGTGTCCGCAGGAGTGTATGATTGAGACTAAGACTCTGTTTCCATCCCTCTGATCCTGAGATGGATGGTGGTGCTGGCCTGTCAGAGGAGCTAGGTTGCTAATTGATACCCAGCAAAATAGCTGACAATAAGCCATCTTTTTGAAAGCCCACAATGAGACCACAGCTGTGAACCTTCTAAGGAGGGTGGAGGACAGTGACAAGAAACAGGTCTGCTGGCAGAGGTCCTCCTTCCTTACAAGGCACGCTGGTCAGGGTCCCTCAGTCCCTTAACTGCTAGCACTTCCTTGAGAGCAAGGAGGAAAGAGCACCCCACTATAGCATGGCTCAGAGATGCCTGAGTTACAATTGCTCATCTTGCGTGGTTGGGTTTTGTAGACCAGCACCAAGCCCCAGCTGGGCATCTTGTCTGGCCTCAAATGGTACAAGCCATGCATGACGGTATCTCTAACGAGGGGGTACAAGGTCTTCGCTGCCCTTTCTGCCAATGAGGCTGGTTCAAAAACATCAACAGCAAGGCTTCTCAGAAGCTAAGTGAGCACTGTCCTCTCTGCCCACACTGATGGGACTCCCCAAAGAGCTTCCCTAATCCCCGCTGAATCAGCAACAGGGCACACCTTCATTCTTGGAACCCATCGCCATGTATAAGGTGAAGGAGCTTGCAAGTGTGTGTGTGGGGGGGGTGCTCTAACTGATGTGACAGCGGGCTAGGCTTGAAGGCACCTGCCGACTCAGCTGGTGGCTTCCAACCTTCCCTTCAGTCTGCCAGTACGTGAAAACCTTTGAATGCCATTTATCCTGGGACACACCTGGCCCGGGCACATGAGCAGGTCAGAATTATATGCACCCCAGGCACTTCCGCTTCAGAAGGCCTTTCTTCAAGCCAAGGAGGAACCCCCAAACTGGAGTGGCAGCTAAGACAGCAGAAACACCCAGAAGTGTCAAAAAAGCCAAGAATGAAGACAGAACCCATTCTTCCCACATAGGAGAGGACATTCACTGTGCTTTCTACAATGATAACCTTTCCAGTGCAAAAACTCACAGACTCATTGCATCTGCCCCGAGGTGATCTCACTTTCCCACTTCACTGGGCTTGCCCCAAGGCCATGGGGCCGTCACTTCACTAATTTCCAAGAATCTCACAGTCACCCATCCTTCCCTGCAAACGAGAAGGATCTCTGCTGAAAACCTTCAGAAACTCCAAACACTGAGCCTGCAGGATCCTCTTCCCTTCCAAACATGGCAGGTGTGTGGGGCTGACGTTGGCACTGAAGGAGGCACAAGGCCTCGGTTACCCCCCTGTTCTTCCCGTGAAGGAGCAGTATGTGTGCCAGCCTTATGGCCCCTGCTGGCTGCTTGGGATTGAACTGCATGTGAAAACATCAGGGAGGCACCTGGCCATCGTAAGTACACACGCACAGACACGCGCACACACACACACTCAGGTATGTGAGAACACGCTGTGGGTCCTCCTTAGAATCAAAGTCCTTGAGAATGAGGCAAAAAAGAGCAGGGATCCAGACATGGGGAGCTGTCTGCGGCTTCAGCAGACTCCAGGGAGTGGTGCTGGCTTTTAGAGGGGCGCAGAGGTTCGTGTGGAGACATTTCTGTAGAAGGACAGCACCTAGCTTCCCACAGGTCTTCCCAGGTCAGCTGCAACCCCTGGAGTGCCCAGATTCCCCTTCTTTCCCACGGTTCACATGGTCTCGGGGGTCTCTGCTATCTCCTCTAGCCTTTGCCGGATCATCAGCCGGAGCACAGTGTACCTGGGGACAAAAGCAGCCCGAAGTTGGTGGCAGTCTCCAATACAGCTCTTGCGCCCTTCCTGCCACCCAAGCAGCCACACTGGAGCCCAACCAGCCTGCTCCTTCGTGCTCACCATTGGCCTCTCTCACCCCCTTCACCAGGATGACAGGAAATAAAGAGGTCAATCCCAAATTAGACTCTTTCACTATGGTTGCAAAGGTTGGCCAGAAACATGAAGATACCAACAAGCAGCAGAGCCAGGTTCATCGAATGCTTGCTATGCTGGGGTACTGTGCACAGCACTCTGTGAAGGTACTGCGCACAGTATTCCACATGCAGGGTATCTCATGGATCTTCATCAAGGCTGGAACACACACAATTACTAGTATTTCACCTTTTAGGGGAGCCTATCAAAATGGCAGCCTCGTATGGATCCCCCTATACCTGTGCCTACTTTTGCAGAAGAGGCCCTAACAACTACCAAGCACACAGCCTCATGGCTGGTGTGTGGCATTCCTGAGCTGTGGCACTGCAGATGCTGGAGGTGGCATCGGTGGTACAGGGGCCAGGAGGCAGACTCCTCAAGCTCGGAGTTTGCACTATGTAGCAAAACCTATGTTCAATAAAATGTCAGCTACTGTCATATTAATTATTGAGAGCAGCAAATATAGGTTTGGGTTTACTCTCCATCCCTAGATTAACTGATTTCCATGATATCCACAAAAGGAAGTCTATCCTGTGACTAAAATGAAATAATCAATTTCTCTCAGAAAGAAGCTTTGCTCAACTCTTCAGCCCAAAGAAAGTTTCTAGAAGAGATGCATCAAAAGGACGGAAGGACAGGAAGGATTTTAGAGTGGGTGGCTCAGGCCAGCTCTGCCTCACGAACACCACCTTCCTAAGATGCCCAGAGCCTCTGCATCTTCAGCATTCTTTGCCTGAAGCCCCAGGACCTGTGCTGACCCTCAGATGACCTCCAGACTTTGTCCTCAAATAACCTCAGGCTCTAAGCCTCCTCTGAGGGAAAGCCAGCTTCCTGCCGGGAGCTTAGTCATACAGCTGAGGCGGCACCATGCCATCCTTTGAATGCGCCTCCTCCCGAAGGTTCCTGTGTCTGGAGCTTCGTCTCCATGTGGTGATGTCGGGTAATAGCTGAATGAATATAGCCTCACAAGACTCCAATTAGTTCTTAAAATAACAAGCTGTTATGAAAAGCTCAGCCCAAGTCCCTCTATAGCTTCCTGTCTCAAATGTGGTTATCATTGTCCTGCCATCTGCCGTAAGGCCCTCAGCAGAGCCAAGCAGAAGGGCCGTGCGTGCTCTTGAACTGTGAGCACAAATTTCATTGTGTGCTAAATAAATCCCTTTTCCTTTTAAATTACCCCAGCCCGGCGTCTTTGGTTACAGAACAGACAATAGACTAATATGCAGGAGAAACTGACCTCCCTATTTCTAAATCCAGATTCCAAAGAGATTTTAAGCCAACACATTCCTTCCCAGAGCTCTTTCATAAAAGGATAGGAAAAGATATTTTGATATCTCTTCTCCAAATAAGCAGCTGACTCAAGAAGCAGGAAAACAGAAAACCAGTGCTCATGTCCCTTTCTGAGATCCCCGTCTGTCGGTGGGCAAGCCCCCTGGTGCCCCAGCCTGCGCCCCAGCCTTCACCCCAGCCTGCATACAGCCT